AGTAGTAGTAGTAGGTGTAGTAGGTGTAGTACGTGGTAATGAAGATGACAACCACGACCGCACACTAGCGGATGTGATGCTGTTGATTTTCCTCTCTGATCGTCATTGCCCTATCATCATCGTCATCGCTATCACTGTCACAAAGAAACCCTCAAGCCAGCCCTTCCCCGAAACGGCCCAGCGTTGCCAAGGATGCCGCCGCACGGATGAAGGAGGGAAAGCAGCAGTGCGCAGTGTGCCCAGAAGCTGAGGGTGGTTCCTTCAATAAATGTAAACAAATATTAACGGGTTGGTTTACAATTTAGGTTTTTGAGGTTTAGGGTATTGGAATGTCGCGACTGGACGAAGTGACAGCACACTCCGAACCGTTTGAAGCCACAGACCCCAAAGCCTATATAACCCCGTAAACCCTGAACTCTCAAGCCCTACGCTGGCTTTTGGCTTAGCAGTTATGGTTTGCTCAGGGTTCCTATCGGGCATGCTATACGACATTTTCGGATTCCGGGGTGTAGGGTTTGGGCCCTGGACTATACGGTTCCCCCTGAATGGCGAACCCTAAACCCTAAACCCTAAACCCTAAGAACCTATAGTCTTCATTGTAGGCTTTCTTGGGGTTTAATACCTCTAAGGTTCGGCTCCTATCGTGTGAAAATGGGTTTAGGGGTTTAGGGTTTAGGATTTACGGTTTAGGGTTTAGGGTTAACTTAACAAAAAGGAACTGCAATGGAGACTATACTATAGGTGTTAGTTTTCCGTCTTTGAGTTCCCTCATATAGCTATATGTACACCGTATAACACTCACCAATACCTTCGTCTAATTTACTTGCGCTTCTTTTTTAAACCCCTGGCCTATACACGACCCGTTAAAACAGTCTGGCAGTTTGGGCCCTAAACCCTAAACCCTAAACCCCTGTCAGTTTCGGTGCGTGTGCTCATGAATGATGTTGTTCAGTCTTGCCGCTGCCAGAGCATCGAGCATCGGTGTGAAATCTCTAGAGTTGAAGTAGGGTTTCTGTTTCAAGATTCAACTCATAGGTGTGGAAACCGCAAGTGCCCCCAGACGATATATGTCCTATGCCCCGATGGCCCAATGCCACTTGGGGGTTTCCGAAAATAGGGGACCCTAATATAGTACCCTAAATAATAGGATCCTTATTATAAGGACCCCAAAATAAGGTACCCCTAATTTGAGGAATATCGAGGGCATGAATATGTTTTCACTTAGCATATATTGCTGAATCAAGGGGTATTGGGCTCTCGCGATACTAAATACTTAAGTACTTGCCAAGCAGCCATTTCAGCTGCTTCACGGCTTACAGGGCATAGTAAACTAGCTCTGAATGAGAGTACGCGTCTTCTAAACATGGGTGGTTTTCTAAATGAGGGTCCTTTTGAGGGTCATTATTATCAGGGTCCCGTACTATATTCGGGACCTAACAAGGGACCCTATTTTAGAGAACTACCTACCTGTAGCCCGAACACCCTGCCGGAGCTCCTGACTAGTTTGCAAAAGCGAATCCCGGAAAGGGTAGGTTGTCTGTGCTACAGGTAGACACAGCAGGTTCAACTTCACACCCTGTAGAGTTTGGGGTTTAGGGTTTAGGGCTTAGGGGCCTAAGCTGCTTGCTATATGTTTTCATTCCGATACATTGGACCCGTGAACTTTGACCCGTAACCTCCAGACATCACGCAGAGAGCCCGACACTCTCTGACCTAAGTACCATCGCGTAGCCATGATCCATCTATGACTCAATGAATATTCCTTGTTGAAGGAGTGTTTGGCGCTTTGTTAGGTCCCGAACCCTAACCCTGGAAAGACAAGCCCTTAAACCCTCCAGCTCTACACCCCATAGTGGAAGCAAGAAAATTGCAAGATTATAATCCTCAGGCAAGATTATTATCCTCAGGCCTCAAGGTGAAGTAATGTAAAGTATAGGACATTGCAGCATAAATTAGCCTCCTGAACTCCTGAACCCATTCTGCAACCTTCCTGGGCTCACTGTACTCCCAAACAGCTAGACAACTGACCGTACACCCTAAACCCTAAACCCTAAACAAACCCGATTATAGGGGCCTAGCTAATTACCCAGAATATTTTGAGGGGTTCCTGACTATGAATATAGTATAATGGGCCCCAAAACCCTATTCCAATTGTTCAGGCCCCTACGTTAACCCCTGGGCGTCGCACTGTCGCTCCAGCAAGATTAGGGTCTAGGGTTTCGGTTTGAAATCCTAAACCCTAACCCACTGAAGCCCTAAACCCAAACCCCTAAACCCAAAGCTTTAAAAGCAAAACTCCTAACCCACTAAACCCTAACCCCTAAAACCAAAGCTTTAAAAGCAAAAACTCCTAACCCACTAAACCCTAACCCCTAAACCGTAAGCTTTAACAGCAAAACTCCTAACCCACTAAACCCTAACCCCTAAACCCAAAGCTTTAAAAGCAAAAACAGATCCCCCGAACGAGGTCCGATCTCGGCTTTACTTCAGCCACAACTCACAGCTCTCAGGTCCGAGATCGAGTGCTTTTTGGGAGGTTTAGGTGTTTGGGGCTTAGGGTTTAGGGTTTAGGGTTTAGGGTTTAGGGTTTAGGGTTTAGGGTTTAGGGTTTAGGGTTTAGGTGTTTAGGGTTGAGGGGTCTTAGGGTTTCGGAGTTTTGGGGTTTAGGGTTGAGAGGTTTTGGGTTTGAGGCTTGGGGGGTCGAGGGGTTTGTTGTCCTTCATGCCTATGTCAGGTGCGCTTGCTCAGGAGGGACCTTGTAGGGTGCCTACTGTAGGGGCCGAAAAAATTACCAATACTATTTTGGGGTTCCCTGTTATGACATTATGATTACGGTACAATATACCCCCAATCCCTATTCTAAGTATGAAGGCCCCAACATTACAGCCGATGTGCTCTTTCATGACATGATGGGCAGGCTTTTTTTCAGCAGACAGAGTCGAAGCCGCCGGCCTATCGGGGTCCCCCTTCTTGGGGTTCAGGGTTTAGGGTT